AGGGAGCCAGCACAGAGCCAGGGAAAGCGTGGGGCAGCCTGCGGTTCAGCAGACTTCCAGGTGGTTCTGTGAGAAGGTAAGGAGAGCCCATCACGTTAGACACAGCCTTAGCCTGTGACCTGGGACCCTCCTGCATCTGACAGCTTCCGCCAGCCTGCTCTCCTGCTGCCACCGCACCAGGCCAGGTCTCCCATTCTCAAGCGGAACTCACCCACAGTCCACAGCGCACTCTGGGGCACACACTCACCTGGATTCCTCTCCAGTGGCTTCCACTCCAAAGTGCTCACACACAGCCGGCCAGAATTGCTCTCTCCACGTGATAAAATCCTCCTCCAGGCTGGAGAAAGAAGGTAATGAGCCAGGCCCCGGGCCACCCAATCGTGGCAATGAGACCCGGCAATGAGCTGGCTTCTCCAACAACCCGGGTGCCAGATGGGGCTGCCAGGCTAGCTTCAACCCTATTCTCAGCAGCCTCCCAGAGCTTGAGGATTCATTTCATGCTGCCTGCTCAATGATGTAACCCAACGTATCAGAAAGTGTCTAGAATGTCTGCGCTAACCATGGGCAGCTTCTTTCTGAACTGGGCAGGCCAGGAGGTTGAAGAAAAGCAAAAAAAGCTCGCTCAGTAGGGGTTCGGGGGTGGGTGGGCTGACTCCCTTTCTTTGTGTGTCACGGAGTTTCAGCAGACACTGTGGCTTTGCACACCCCTCGTGGGCCACAGCCAACCCCTACTCCTGAGGGGGCTTCTGGCAGCCAGGGAGGGGGCCTAGCATGCAGGGCTGGGTCTGGGGCACTCACTTGCCATCATCGTCGCCCATCCCCAGATCAAAGATCCGCTGGGCACCAAGCTGCTCCAGACGCTTGTCCACGTACTTGCCCATGGCATTGAAGTGCTCATAGGTCTTGTTCCCAAGGCCAAACACCTGTGTGACAGAGGGGCGGGCCTGAGGCCTGGCCGGTGGCAGGTTTCCATGCAGTGCTGGCCAAGCTGCTGGGCAGCACTGTGAGGTGGGACACCTTTGGCCCCTGGAAGTGGCTTTGTTTCGGTGACTGACAGCCCTGAGCCGCCCTCCAAAGCCAGCCTCTAAACCTCAACCCTGGGTGGCCAGCAGGGGCAATTCACCCTCCCATCAGGCTCCCCTTGCCCGACCGGATCTTGGTCATCCCGCCAGACCTTTCTTGCCTTTAGTCTCCAGCAACAAATATCCCTTGGGGCAAAGTGGGGCTGGGGACGTGGGAGAAGCTCTTAGTGCTGGGGCCCAGGGTGGAAGAGGGGCTTGCCCTATTAACAGCCTTAGCCGGGGCTCCCTGCCATGAGCTCCCCTCCAGGCCCCCAGTCCTGCCACCTGGGCCTGCCCTAGCTGATCACAGCGATGTGAGACCTGGAGGATTTCCTATTGGACATGGAGGTCTGGACGCCGAGGCGAAGTGCCTCAGGCTACCAGCTGGGAGCCCACAGGGAGCCACCTGAGTAAAGACGGGGGACTCACCGCATACTTGACTCCAGATAGGTCCACGTCCGTCTCCTGGAGCCAGTCGTAGAAGTCCTGGGCATTGTCAGTGGGGTCCCCCTCGCCGTAGGTGGCCATGCAGAACACTGCCAAGGAGTTCTCTATCTCTGACAGGCTGCCCAGGTCGGCCTAGAGAGAGAAGGGCAGGGTCCGGGCCCAGCGACCATGACTCAGTCTGCTCTAGGTCAGGTCTGTGCCTGACGGGGTACACACAGGGAGTCCAGGGTTCAAATGGAAGGGCATTTACAGAGAAAAGGGTGTTGACAGGCACAAACCGGCTGGGTTTCGTGCTACCCGCTGGCACTCAGAACATGGTTCCCTGTGCACTGGCCCTGGGCCACCACAGGTGGACATTATTGTCCCACAAAGTCTCTAGAGCACAACAGGGGCTAGGCTCTCACTAATTCCTAGCCAACGGTTCACCAACTCAAAACCCAGGTCTGGAGACAGACAGGTAGTGGTGCCTTTCCCTAAGACAGAAGGCGGAAGGTGGTGGTGGGAAGGGGGGCAGGCGGTGGCGCTTTGGTTTGGGAGATGGAATCCATGTTCAAGAACAGCTGGTGCTCAGGAGAGGGTGGTTCTGAGGGAAAGAACATTTGTTGTGTTGTTGGAGCTGCAGGAGCAGCTGGGTGATGACTGGCAATGATCCCATTGGGGAGACACAGGAAGGCAACTCCCTGGAAGCTTCTTCTGAGGACCAGGGGCTCCCTGCCAGCCTCCTCCCCACCTGGGGGCCTCAGTATCAGCTCCCCCTTCCCTGTCCACTGCCTCCACCTGGGGCAGGGGTCTGGCGGACATTAGTTCTCCTGGCCCAGAAACAGGCAAGCACACTGCTGGAAGTTTCTTGCACACTGGAGAAGTGCGCATGGGAGGGGAAGAACAGGACCAAGGAGCTAATCCAGGGGCAGAATGAGCAAGGAGAGCCTCCTCTGACAGCCCTCAGACAGCCTGGGGGCAGTGAGGCCAGAAGCAGGGGCTGAATACTGCTCGGCCCTGCAGTGGCCCAAAGGGGTGATGGGGGGGGGGCGACCCTACAGTTCCAAACAAGGGTAGTGGCTGGCCCTCCCAATTCTCAGGCTCTCCCGGCCCCTCCCCAAGCTGCACGCTTCCCTCAGGCTCTGTCCCCACTCCTCTGCTCCGGCTCAGACACAGGAGTTTACAGCCTCATTTCAAAGCCCAGCAGAAGGGTTCCCAGAGATAGCCGTCCATCGTTCAACGCCCTCCTTTCTCATCTGTAAAGATGGGGCTCGCCCAGGGTCACACGGGCAGTCAGGGCAGAGCCTGATCGAAGGCGATTCACCCACTCCTCAATCCAGCTCCCCTGACGCTGCAGTTTGGGTGGTGCTGTGGGGGAGGTGGGAAACAGGTCCCCTGCTGACCTGCTGAGACCCTTTCATTTTTAAAGCCACACCCAAGGCACTTCTACCAGCACCTGCCCAGCACTTATAAAGCGCACAGCACAGAGCATGGATGGCTGGCATAAGCAGTGCTGGGAGCTCACAAGTGCATACCTGGGCCAGGTGTTCTTCATGTCCTTAAACCCGAGGCCACCTGGCTGCTAGTACAAATGACAGGAGACATCGATTCCTGTCTGTCCTTTTGCTAACTCAGCCCTTGAAGGGACACCTTCCTTAATGGGAGGAAAGACCAGAGCGTGGGGACAGCTCACCAAGTCGTACTCCTCAGGGTCTGCTGACATGCCCCGCATCCCGTAGCGGTGGGCGTCCTTGGACAAGCGGTTGGCAAATTCCTCGGCGGTCCCCGTCTGGGAGCCGTAGAACACGATGATGTTCCTGCCCTAGGGAAGGCCAGACATGTGGGGTCCGTGAGGGGCTAGGAGCCACAGGGCAGGCCAGGACGGTGGAGCGTCTAAGGGCACCCTCTTTCCTTCTTGCCACAAGTCCTTTCTAAGTCACTCTGGGCTAGCATCTCACTGCCACAGCTCCTGTGGTGGACGGGGCGCAGGCCACCCAGCTGACTCCAGCCATCACTGTAATCTTACACAAGGTCACCCTTTGCACAGCTTTTAAAATGACATCTGGGGCCGGCCGAGTGGTGTGTTGGTTAAGAACTGGCTTGGGACGCCAGAGGACCCCGGTTTGGATCCCACATATGAGGGCCAGTGACACTGCCCTCTACAGCTAAGATGGTGAACAACAGCTCGACCTGGAGCTGGGCTGCTGTGAGTAGCTGGTGACGGCGTGGGCTGCAGTGGAGCTGCAGTGGGCTGCCATAAGCTACTGTGAGTGGCTGGCAGCTAGCGTGAGCGGCTGGCAGCTGGTGTGAGCTGCCGCGAGCTGCCATGAGCCGCCGTGAGCGGCCGTCCAGATGCCAGTGACCGACCTGCCTCACCCAGGAAGAGCGCAATGATAATACCAACATGGGCCAGTGAAGCAATGTCCTCCACAACTAGACTGAAGAACAAAAGGACAGCAACTTGTCTGTTCCCCTTGCCCGATTCCCCAATGCTGTTCCCTCCCCCAATTCCCCAATAAAATCTTAAAAAAAAAGGTATAAAACCTCAATAATTAAAACAGTATGATATTGTACCTACACAGACTGTTAAATCAAAGTACTAGAATAGAAAAATAAGAAAATAGACCCAAAAAACCGATGGAGATTTTGTATATGATAAAACCAGTGGGGGAACAGATGGCCTCTATTACATGGAACTTAGCTGTGTAAGAAAAGCAGTGCTGGATGCCTTACATCTTATACCAGGAAAAATCCCCAACAGATTTAATTTTAAATATGAAAAATGAAACTGTAAAAGTACTAGAAGAAAACATGAGAGAATTCCTTTATCTCTTCAGACTGGGGAAGGTCTTTCAAATGATGACTCAAAAGTCCAGAAGTCATAGAAAGAATAATAAAGTGGACTTGTAACTTTTACATGGCAAAACAAATAAACACACATGATAAGCCAAGTCAAAACAAACTATTAACTGGGGGAAAAAAATTTTTTTTAAAGATTTTATTAGAGAGTTGCGGGAGGGGAACAGTGTTGAGGAATTGGGGAAGGGGACCAGCCAAGTTGTTGTTCTTCAATTTTCGTTGTGGAGGGCATCAGTCGCCATCTGGCTGCCCGGTGGCAGCTCATGGCCTCTAAGCTCAAGGTGCTGTGTTCAATCTTAGTTGAGGGTGGGCGTAGCCACCATCCCATGCGGGAGTCGAACTGACAGCCTTGTTAAAAGCACACACTCTATCCACTGAGCCATCCGGGCGGCAGCTCAGCTCAAGGTGCCAAGTTCAGTCTTAGTTGCTGGCGGGCATAGCCCACCATTGAACAGGCAATCTTGTTGTTACACCAGCTGAGCCATCCTGCCACCTGTTGGCAGCTCAGTGACAACTCAGCTCAGGTGAAGCGTCACTGGCCCATGTGGGAATCGAACCAGCGGCCCTGTTGCTCAGAGCTCGCGCTCTTAAACCAACTCTTAACCAACTGAGCCACTCGGCCAGCCCGGGAAAAATATTTTTAACTCAGATCACAGACAAGGGGTAAAGCTCCCTAATAATTTTAAAGAATTCCTTGAGAAAGATCAATCCCAACAGAAAAATGAGCAAAATATTTGAACAGAGAATCTATAAAAAAAATAAATGCCATTAATATATGAAAATCTGCTTAACCTCATTCATTAAAAAAATGCAAATTAGGACTACACAGAGATATCATTTTTTTTTAACTTAGAAAACTGGCAAAACTCCAAACTTTGATAATAAACTATGTTGGCAAGGCTTTGAGGAACAGGTTTTCTCCCACATTGCTAATGAGAGTGTCCTGGTGTGACCCCTATGGGGGGCAATGTGGCAGCTTCTATCACAATTACAAATTCATATGGCTTTGACCCAGTAATTCCACTTCTGGGATTTTATTGTATTTGCAAATGTGCAAAATTGATCTACACAATCACAGCCGCATCATTTGTAAGAGTTTAAGATTAGAAATATTCCAAGTGCCCATCAAAGGGGAGTGTTGAAACAAATACAGTACTTATGATCACATAATGGAATCCTTACGCAGCTATAATAGAGAACGAGGGAGGTGTATTTGAATTGCTATGGAAGGATCTCCAAGATGTATCATTAAGTCAGAAAAAAAGCATGGTCTATAACAGTGTATGTCATTTGCCACTTTTGCGTTTTAAAAAAGTATAAGAGCCTCTGTGTTTTTTATTTGAGCACAAAGAAGCTCTAGAAGGATGCAAAAAACTGAAACTGGACCACCTCCTTATGCCATATACAAGAACAAATTCAAAATGGATTAAAGACTTAAATGTAAGACCTGAGACCATAAAACTCCTAGAANATGGAAAGGGTTCTCCCAGCCCAATCCCAGGCAACGCTCCTGGCAACCACACAAAGTGGATGGAGCTAGGTTATCAGTGTCCCCATTTACAGATATGGAAAGTGAGGCTGGCCCTGAAGAGCCTGGAAGACCCTCCACCTTTGGTACTCATTGGTAAGCTAACTGCAAAGGAGGACTAGGCCTTTGAAGATGCTCCCGAGATGAAAGGTGCCTGGGTCCCCGAGTGACTGTGTAGAGCAGGGCTCCCTCCCCCGCGTGCCCTGGACTGCAGCATGAACAGGAGATGAACTTTTACTCTCTAAAGTCTATAGCAGGGCTGCTGGTCTTGAATCCTAGGGGTAAAGGGAGGACTCTTCTGGGTGGTTCCAGCAGGAGTCAGCAGCACCCAGAAGTAAGGCCAGTCTGGGGCCCAAGAGAGGAACACTATGTTTTCGGACAAAAAGTCCAAATATTGAGGCAGAATTTAAGGAAATGTGCCCTTCTGCCAAAGTTCAACCCAGACCCAGAAGTGAACTTGCTATGTCCTGATCCAGGAACTGCTATGCATCCCCCACCCCAAGATATTCACAGAGCAAAATTTCACAGCGTTTAAGTACAAACTGAGCAAGTGCCAGTCTCAGAGGCTATGCCCTGGACTGAGGGACCTCTGGGTGGGGAGGGGTCCTGTGGGCCCTGAGCACTGAGCAGCTTCCCGTGTCTCAGCTCTGGACCTCATGAACTCCTGTGCGGTGGAGATGAAAATGTGGGTGCCCCCACCTAAACCCACTCCTGGACAAGGGTGGAGATAAGGACGCCCCACGGGATGGGGTCTGCGGGGATACACAGGACTACCAGTTGTTTGCTATCTCCAGAAACCTGAGACAGGTGAACCAAGGGCCACAGGGCCTGGTCCCCAACCATGCCCTCCACTCACGGTTTCTGGTTCTCGTAGCTCTTCAGGCGGCCCATCTCACCCATGTACACCTTGGCCATGTCTATGTCAGCGTGGACCACAAGCTCATACTGGCGAATGCTGAAAAGGAGAGGCTGAGGGTGAGGCAGGG